TATGTTAGTTCATGTTCTGTGCGAGTACAAATTACAGTTCTAGTTTATTACAATTGCTTTCAGGCTATTAATCATTTTTACGTGTGTTCGCACTTAAATATTAAAAAATACCTGTTTATGAAATAATTTACCAAAATAAATCTAGGCATATATACACACCATTGGATACACAGAAGCCTATGGATCTCGCTTACCTACGGAAAATAGATAAATGTCCGAACAGACATACTAGTTACGTTGTCTTTTGCTCTACTTCAGATTGATTAAACTTTAAGATTTTGCGGATACGAGTCGTTATCGCTAGTTGGGCAGCAATCCACTTGTGACGGGGTAATTCCTCCATGGCGACGTCCTCGGACAGATGGTATACACCAGTGCGTATGGTGACACGATTATAATCATGTGAGCTCTAACCACCAGACATCACAAATCGGAACGCAGTTCTTTGAAGATAGCCAGTAATGACTATACTTGAAGAATCTGCAAAATCGTAGTAAAAAAATCTACTTGTAGTCGTGGTTTCACGTAGCAACGCACACAAAAGAACGTACAGAGAACCGACGTCGTATGTATGTATGTATGTATGTATGTACATCCATAGCATAATAGTAGTGAAAGTTGTCAAATTAGGATAAAGCATGCACCGACCCAAAGAGCTCTTGACACATTTTTTTTTAATTAATTAAGTAAATACTGAGTTACAGTGGTTTTATACACAGAGGGCGTGTGAGAAACACCGCCTCAGTCATCTGCCATTTTAAGTATAGAGAACACCGACCTTACATCAGATATACTGAGAAGTAACTGTTCACTGGCGACAGGAGTATCTCACTATTGAGATGCGATATAAATTGGATAATCCGTATTAAATTCATGGTCTCTACCACTGAAAAAATATACAATTTATTTCCGACTTAAAAGTTTCTGTCGTCTTTACGCAATCTACTTGTTGTAGCAATGATTCTAGTACTATTTTAAAATAGCACCTTCTCTGAATGTTGATTAATAGGCCTAATTTAAAATCTAAAAATGTTTGCGATTTGGTGCGATTAAAAAGCATGGTCTTATGTGTCTGTGTAAATTCTAATTCCCTGATTGTCCGAAAGCAATTTTAACATGATCATCTTTGAAGTGAAGGACTCATCCTTCCGAGTCAATCTTCAAGAGACATCTGTTTATCAATAATAGGATTATATCAGCAATATAGTATACATACGGATGATTAGGCTTTTCGTTTTTATAATTTCAATTAATAAGAGCACAGAAAATGACGTGACGTTTAAAAAAACGCTATAATCTTCAGTGGTAAAATCTGAAAGTCCAAATATCCAGGTAACAACTGAATTTATAATTCAAAAAGATCAAATATTTATCCAAAAATATCATGACTTCCATCAAGTTACAGACCGTAACAATTGAGTTTGTGTTGATTTACATTTTGTGTTTTATTATCAGCCAATTTATGTGTCTATGCAGAGAATATACTGTAAGAATGATATTTCTAACTATACCTCTATTCAAAGAAAAAAATTTCAAATGCAAAGCTAATGTGACTATTTCCTTGTACAGTGTCATTCGTTTGCATTAGGCCCTATGGTATATTTTGATCAGTCGTATAGTGGGCACTTGAAACTTAAACAAAAATCTCACACGGTCATTAAACTGAATTATAGATCATTCTTGGGAATACAATACTTCCTCTATTCTTTAGGTAGTATTTGCATATTGATATGAATATTCCACAATACAATGGATATAACTTCCGCAAGTATTGGTCAATGCATAATTGTATGGTACAGGAGTACGGTTATCATATTGAAATTACGTTGTTACTTGCTTATTGTGAGATGTCACTGCTAACTAGCTCTTTGAACAAACAGTTCAAAATTATAACACAGTTTTAGTAGGCCTAATACCAAAATCAAATATTGCACTGATTTAACGTATCATAGTATGCAACTCTGCTTTTGTTTTTCTTCTGTACTCTTGTGCTCAGTGTTTGTTATGGGATATGTCATGAGTCAGTCTTTAGTATTTAGGCCTAGATTAAAGATTAATTGAGCAAATAGTGTTTTACAAGAGTTCAATACCCCGTGCCGATTGCCTCGGAATAAAAATTCAAATATACCTCAATACAAAATTGAATATAATGTACGTACACAAACGTCAATCCACATTGATGTAAATCTTGCTCTGAAGCCTGTTAAGTTCCAAAACAGGAATTTAAATCCCAACGTGTATTTTTTACGAAAAAACGCATGTTTCATTTTGAACAATTTGTGTTTTAAAATGAAAATCTTAAATACTTACTAACGGTATGGCAACCATAAGCGTTAGCCTATTAATATATAGAGAAAATGAGTGTGATTAGGCTACACAAGTAAACGTGAATCATTAAGATTTACTTACTTTATTTCATGTTAAAACATGTGAAGGTTTTACTAGTTTAAGTACAAATTTATGTGATCCATAAAGGATTAATTTCTCAAATTCCAAATCAATAAAAAGTTCTTTGGAAAATACTAATTGCCAAAGCTTTCAATTAGAAATCTATAAAAATATTGACCTCACAGTACTAAATCAAGTAGCCACGTGTGGGAAGAAAAGTTTACAGGTTTACCCGCTAACATATTTCTGTAACACCTAAAATAGGTAGGCCTACATGCATTTGGTAATATCCTTTTAAATTGCAAGAATGCGTAAATAAAAATTAAAATTAAAATTACATAATCTCAATTGGTAGGTGGATGCGAATGGTTAGTAAGAACCGATTGGGATATGAAACGTGTTTCATTTACTTCTTCTCCATCGGTAACCTTTCGGTTTCAACCTTATCTTTCCTACCTGTCTTTTCAACAACATTATTATTGCCCTGGTATTTCTTGCCTGACTGTTAAATAGGCCTATTAATTTAATTGCATGTGTAACAATTATTAACTCCTAATACTTATATCTAAATTTAGTTTAAGGGTCTTATATAAAACGGGCCTAAGACAACATAATAATTTAGTTAGGCTTTGACATCATTCACCTCCTCACCCTACAACACCGACACTACACCTATATTTAATAGGCCTATTTAATAAAGATAGGTCTATACTTGCAAAATTTTAAATCAATAGTTGAATAGCTTTAAATTTTTGTATATTTCAGTAAGTTATGATTATACTTCAATTAAAAATAGCACGAGAATGTAGCTTCCTCTAAATTTAAAATTCACATGCATAAAAATACCGTTAACAAAAATTTGCTTCTGTCAAATAGCCTATCTCAGAAAAATAAAAATAAAATTCTCCAACATTAGAATTTTCGTCTTCTGGACTCGATAGCAAAGTGGTCAATATTGGATGATACTAAATTAGTAACTGAGCAAATTCGGTACCAAGTGTCCAGTGTTACAGTTTTTGTCAATGAATAATAGTTTTATTTCACTGGAATTGGACTGTCTCACAATGTAAGCAGAAATTTTGTCCTATTGGTTCTTAATGTAAATAGATATGTTTTCAGAACAATAGATGATTATATTATTCTTTGAATACACCCTTAAATTGGCTACTAACCAACTTAAGATCAGTAAATCAGCGAAAATAAAAATGTTACGACCTACGTAAAATTAGAAATTGATGATTTGTTCGAACTATTTTGTATAAGCACTTTAATGTTTTCTTGATCTTTTTACCAGAGTTGACCAGATGGTAGGTCAAAAACTATGTTGAAGATAAACAAGATCTAAATTTAGATCAGATCTAGATAAATGGAACACTATACGTAGGCCTATTAGATGATTTTCTTCATTCGATTTATGTGCTGTAAATCTGCTTCTGCATCTTATCACATTGTATTTATGATTTATTAAATGTGAAATTACAGCAAGAATAACTTCCGGGTTAACGCCCTGGCTGTAAGACACGTTCACTATTATTATCATTCATCATCAATCGCTCATCGAGTAAGTATATCACTGAAACATAATGTGTACTATTAGGCCTATGCCCGGTTTATACTAAAACTAACAAACGTAGGCCTACCCATTCTTCCAATCTTCACTATGACTTTAAGCTAGCGGATACGGTGCTAACCTAGTCAGTACCTCTGTATTATATGTCAATTCACACGGGTGTCTCACCCCAAGGCTAAACACCTGAATGTCAACATATTTCAATCAACTTCTTATCAGATGCCGTTCTTGTTCATACGAAACTTGTGAAAATGATAATTAGAAAATCGAATTAGGTGTGAACAATTCAGAGAAAATGAGGTAGGCCTGTCAATCACTTGTTATGGACAATGAATCAGCTTGTGACTATGTAATCGTACATTCAGATATTCAATTGGGATAAATTGCTTCAGTTACGTCATCATTTGTTGTTTTCTTGTTTTAAATATATAAAGTTCTACAAAAATCTACTCAATATGTAATATAAGCCCAGTGTATACTGCCGTGATTCGGAAGAACGCATTATAAGCCAAAATCATAGTTTTTAAGATATTGAGCAAAACGCGTTTCTTGTTAGCCTTTTGTTATGGAAATGAATTATATTGAATTTTTTGTGTAAATGTACTAATTACACAACAGAACAACATACTGAAGTACTTTTTCTGTATATTTTGTTCTATAACCCAGTCAAAATGGACATAATGCGCTTTTCCAAATTAAAACAAAAGCCAATGAAGCATGAAAAATCTGATGTTGGGCATTATATCCAGTTTTGCCAGTAGAATGCATGCATTATTCTTTACTTAAGGAACAAATTAAAGTGAATTTTCACCAGGACTTTAGAGGTTTAAATTCCATTATGTTTAAATAACTTAAAACAAAACAAAATAGAATGTTTTTTAAGGGTTTTTGTTTATATTATTTAGCAACATTATCGCATTCACTCTCATAAAATATTTACAAAATGTGTCTGATCTGATTTATTAGATGTTGTATTAAAATTTAAATTAAATATTATTGTTAACCACTACAGAAAGAACAAGCAACAACACTGTTAGTAAGATTTTTTACAACATAAATAATCAGTTTATTTAAATTCACTATGAAGAATACCCTCTTTCAATTTAATAAACAAAAAAATAAATAACAACTTCCAACTAAACACACATATTCGGGCCCAATTATACATTTTTGTTTCCTTAAATTATAAGGAAGTGTACTCATTTTAATATAGCTAAATATTTTAAATGTAAATTTAGCATAGGTATTATATCTAAATTCTAAACATTGGCTTAATTGGAAAGTCTAAGTAAAACATTTTTAAGTTTGATATGTATGTATTTTATTTTGTTTTTTTAATGGTCTTAGTTATAACAGTAATTATTTATATTACAGACTAAAATTTATATTATGGCCACAATTTGGCCATGGGCATATTGCAACTTATTCTTTAAAAGATGAAGAACAATGCATTCTTCTTTTATTATTAATCAAAAACAAAGTTGGTATTTGCCTTATTATGCCCTTCCACCAGCAAGGGAACTAATTAAATATGCATCATTTTCTTCTGTGATTGGTTGATTGCTCGCTTTTCAATGCTTGGTGGATATAATGCACTCTTCCGGATTTTTTTGCTTTGGTGGATGGATATAATGCGTAATTCTCATATTAATTTCATATTTATAAACATTTTTAGGGTATATGATCAATTCACATGACAGATTACATCCATAGGATGCCACTAAGCCAAAAATCTCAAAATTATCAAAAACGGATATAATGCGTTTTTCCGAATCACGGCAGTATAATATTAATGTGTTTTTTCTCCGCAATTTTACTTTGACTGATTTTTCAATGCCATTATAACTTTTAAAAATGTTCATATGATTGTATTTTTTAATCATTCTTTAAAAAAGTAGTAAAATTGCTTGAGTTGAGCTAAATTAACACAAATGAAATCTTTAAACTATTGTTACATTGTTTTACAATTGCATTTTTTGTATTTCCAGATATCCTCTCAGTTAGTATGGTATCACTATTATCTTCGAACTAACAAAGCTCAGTTCATTTTCAGTTTTTAGAGGTTAGCATTTAGCTCTATTTTCCCACTCTCGTATTTTTTCTGTCTTGCTTGGCTTTGGCACAATGAGCGCCTTATAAATATCCACTATAATAATAATAATGATAATTATCATTATTATTATTATTATTATTATTATTATTATTATTATTATTATTATTATTATTATTATTATTATTATTATTATTATTATTATGGCAAACCAGGCAAACGAGGTTCAGTGCAAGTTTACCAAAATGATTGAATATTTAAACACAGATAGCCTACGTGCTATAGTTTGAACAACAAAAATGACAATAAGAATTTCCACCTCAAAAGCTGGTTAGTTTCTATTTCAAAGGTCAGAGTGGATTAAGAGTTAAAGCCCTATCCTATGCAAATTTATTAAAATATATTTATAAGATTCAATTTCCAAAACCTTTTAGTAAAACTGATAGTGTTTACAATAATATGGTTAAAATTAGAATTTAAAGATTTAAAGGTGTCAAAAGCATTATAGACCGTTTTCTGTAAGACATTGACGGAGCCTGCCAACTGCGTACCAATCAAATCGAGCCGAGTTTAGTGTGAAACATGTGAGATAACGAATCGAAAGACTTCCAGTGGGAATAGGATAATAAGAACTCAAACTCTAAATTTCCTAATGGAAATTGACAGAGTCCACTTTCTATAATCTGAAAATTTGGATCTATATAAACTCATCGAGATTGCATAATTTGCAATGATATACATTTGAGTAACTTAGTGTATGATTATTATCAAGTTCTCCTTTTTCTAAATGTAATTCATCATCAATCATGAAACTTACTGGTAAACGTCGAGATACTTCTAATTTTAAGGGCAATGGGAAAGAATTTTACCCATTGCAGAGGTACTTCTATGAGCACTCTACTTTGGAGAGTACGGGCTACACGTTCATAGCCCTTGGTGGGAAAACTGCACAAGTGACGTAATCACCATTGTGACACCCTTGAGATATGCTCAAACTTCTCAGATCTAACAATAATTTGGAAATACTCAAATGCTACGTGACTTAGTAAAGATGATTATATCCTAGTTTTCCCGGTACCTTTATGCATAGTGTCAATCATGACGCTAAGTGTACTATGCCGTACTGTTTCATGCAAATAATTTGTCGCTAATTAATTAATATTTGTATAAGAAAACTTAATATTGTAAAAACGTTCAATGATGTTTTCTATTAGACTCAATTGGATGCATGTAGATATTCAAAATAGTTGGTACGGTATATCACTTATAAGTTACTGCAATACATATTTAATCATTCACATGTAAGTGTGAGTATGCTGCCTAGCATCCTTAATATATACGAACGTTGCAAGAGCATCATCCCCAAAATCTAAATACTTTCAAATCAAACTGTTTAATTTGATCACATACGCTTTCAGATGTTTCGTCTGTATACCTCGTGCTGAAACCAGTAATAGTGCTTATAGCAGAGTCCAATGGCAGACTGAAAACATTACAGTTTGTAGGCCTAGTTATGTTACTGATGATTAAGCCTCTTCCCAGAATATAGAGTACACTACTTACTTTATTTCAGGTCAATATATTTCTACAACGGAAAAACAGTCAACACATAACGATAAAAAACAAAACAAGTATCAACATTTTCAAAATACTTTCAATAATTTATATTTACACTTTCAAATCAGTATGGTACATTACGCCTGGTGATAATCCAAGCAAACAGAAAGTACTATGTACAAATATTTAGAATGAATTAATAGCATTAAATTAATTGATATGTACAGTTCCGCTCGGCCTATACACAGGATACAAGACCTTAAACCGAACATCCGTTCAACTTAACGATGTTTAATCCAAGTCTTGAAGCAGACTGTTTGTCGTTTTGACCATTATCCTTAATTAATAAGATCCTAAATTTCTTAATTTAATTTTGTTTTGAATAAAATCACATTTGAAGGTATATTTACTGAGGCAATTCATATCATTCATACAAACCTTTCCTAAAACATAATTGCATTGTATACCGTATTTCAGTAATTAGCCTAATCCTGTCGTTCTAAGTTTCAATAAATTAATGATATTAATGTAAATCGAATTTTAACATTTTAGCCAGACTAGGCTTACGAATATTTTCATTTCACCTGACCTGATGAAATCGGCGTAGACTGTTAAATGTTGCTTAACTTCGGATTAGTTTTAAAAAAACCGTTACTACTCATCTCCTCTTGAACACAACATTCAAAGCTACTGCGTTTGATTGAAAGTCCAGACGTCGACCCATCATTTCGGGGCGCTAGCACATGTGTATTGTCTATGCTTTTTAATTATGGATGAATTTGAAACTGACAATCAAACTATCATTCCCGAGCTTCTGTAGCAACTGAGAAAATATTTTCTAACGAATGTGAAAATGATGGATTATCAAAAAATACTGGGTATATGTCCTGTAACGTATCTCGAACATTGTGGTTGCTGATACTATACACCCTGGATTCTGTTGCGATAGGATTTTCCTCAGATTGAAATGAATGATGTCTGTCCATAACTTCAATGGTAACATGTGGAAATTTCTTCAAAAGTTCTTGCTCTTCGTGTTTGGTGAACACAAATACTGCTGCCATGATTAACAACGAGAATACTATTCCACCAACTCCGGCAACGAGCATAGCCACAACTGGCCTAATGGTAGTTGACGATCCGTCGTCTGGGGAAGATATCGTTGGACTCTCGTCATAGTAACTAGGGCTTCTGGTATCGGATTTATATCTATCCTTCGCTGTCAAAAGATCGTGCCTTGGCGTTGTCGAATGTGGATACAGTTCACTAGGACGCGTGAAGACTAGCAAAGTACCATTTGCATTAGAAGTTAGACCTGATTCTGTTCTTACCTGGCAAGTAACCTTGGTGTTGTTTTCGGTGACTTTCGCATTTAAAATTCTTAGAACTTGTCCATTATTTTCTTCTATATAACGTCTGGATAATAAAACTGGTAATGGTAAGTGTATCCAACTATAACTGACAATTTTTTCACTAGAACTTACGTCGCATGTAAAACGAACGTCCGATCCTTTAAATACCTCTTGCTTTTCTGGAACAATTCGTACTTCCGGACGGACGACAATTGGCACCATACTACAGATTCGTGGTGCCACGAATTCTGGACTTTTAAGCACACATGCAAATTCTATTCCAATGTCGGTCTCTTCCAAGACTAATGTATACTCAACACTGTACTGTTCGTCTACTGATCTAAGCTGCATTCCGTTTCTGTATAAAGCCAGCAGTGGCTGCAGCTCGTTTCCAGTGGCTACACAACGCAGTGTGATCTCGTCGCCGACATCAGGCTTCTCCCTAGGGGAACTGATCTCGCATGAAGGAGAGCCTGGTAATAATGGTTTCTGTACAGTTAACAAGGCGTTACCCAGACTTTTGAATCCTCGATCTCCGTCTAGATATCCGCATTGGTAGTTTCCAGCGTCCGTTAACTTTAGCTTGTCCATAAACAATATAAAATCCTCTTCTGTCCGTGGTGATTTGATGTGGTATCGTGACCGACGGTCAAGATCAATAACACTGAGGTACGTATCAATTGAAATGAATGTTTTCGAGTCAACGTGAAACCAAACTACGTTCACTGTATCTTTATTCCTGACATGACAGTTTAACTGAGCTGATTTTCCGACAACACCAGACGTGTTCTCAGGTCCAGTGACCAATTCTATACAGTATATAGTCCTTGCCCAACTAAGCAACAGTATAATACTAATACGGCACAAGTTTATTTGAAAAATATGATGCATCTTATAGATATAGGCTGATAGAGTACAGTCAGTTATGTAGTATGAGCTTTCTTGTTGAACGCTCACTGGTTAAATACACGATGCCAAATTATTTCACCGACAAATCGGCATAGTAATTCGGAAACTCGAATTTATCAGCCTCAAGTGATGATTGGTATACACTGGTCAAGTTCAAGCAGAAGTGAATCACACAACGAAGAATAAGAACTTGTTCCTCGCTCCTGTTAGATATAAAGTAGCTACTCGAATGATAATATTAAAAAACTCAGGTAAAAATATTTCCGAAGTTGCTGAATTGAAAAGTAGGCAATGCAGAATCGTCAACTTGAGTACTTCTCTCGGTTAAGCACTACTTCACACTGATCCAAACAAACACCGTTAACCCGCTATTGAATGATTGGCAACTTGTTGCTGAGTAACATATAGTTAGGGGGCGCCATTCTATTTCAGATCCCCGCCGCCTACAGAGTTTTTATTTTATTTCCACAATTTTCACAAAAGCAGAACGCTGATGACGTCATTGTGTTAATACGAAGTAGTATGGACAGTGGTTTTAAATAATTGAAACAAAATGTAGTTTTTTCAAACAGGAATTGGTGGCAAATTCAGTGGTGGCGCCAGAGGGGGCTGGGGCTATAGCCCCTCCCCCCGTAGGGAAAGCATAGCCCCCCCCCCACCCCGTCGGGGAAGACGATAAATTTTGTCGGGGAACAAATAAAATAAAGATTTACATGTAATATTCGTTTAACCACCATATTGTTTGTGTTAACTTTTCATCATCATCACAACAATAATAATAATAATAATAATAATAATAATAATAATAATAATAATTCAATGAGACTAATTAAAAATAATTTGCGTTCTGTTATGACAAATGCTCATTTAGATAGTCACATGATGGTTGGAATACATCGTGATAGGTGAAGCAACCTCGACCATGACAGCGTGGTTGACAGATTTCATGCAAAATTTCCAAAATATAGAATTTCACTTTCAAGAATGAGGATTTGAAAATAAATTAGATGGTTACATTGCATAGGCCCACCCTTTGTTTCTTGCTTTATTCAAAATGTTTTGGTTTTGGAAGCTAGTTTCAACATTAGAAAGCACAGCCTACATGAAGTCATATAGTAACTCGATGCCTATCAAATAAGTAATAAAAATTCGCCATAATTCATCAAATATCCGCCGGGGTCCCTGGGCGGCCCCCGCCCCCAGCCAAGTGAGACTCGATTCGCTCTATTAGCCCCCCCCCCCGTCGGGGCCTTTAGCCCCTCCGTCGCGCAGGTCCTGGCGCCACCACTGGGCAAATTCCAATTTCAAAGTAACAATAAACGACTATACAAAAGTATGTATAAGTCTAGCATATATAACCATAGTAATCATTGTCAATAATTGAGACGCCTTCTGTAAAGCTGCTTTTCGTAGTTATTGCTTAATAATAAATAGGAATTAATGTGAGGTATTTTAAGTCTTATTCTTGGTGTACAAAAATTGCAGCGTGGTTTATGAGATATGATAGTAGAAGAGGCCCAATCTGTCCTAGTTACCCTTTAGCTTAAACAGTCAGCTGTTCTTTATGTTCAAGTGGGCTTAATCTGTGCGTATTTGGGGACCACCGTTGTTATCTCGAACATGATGTACAATTATCGGAAACATACCAACTAAAGCAGCAATGAGGTTTGAGAGGAATCTTTTTCGGCCCTTGGAATTGTGTTATTACTAAAGGAATTCTTCACATAACAAAATAGCGCACGTAACCAACGTAATCGGTTGTAAGTTGTCAAAGTCATTTAGTTTTATTGTCATGTTACTGCAGCAGGAGTATATCACCTGTTAAACTTACGAACCCGCCAAACACAGGCTTCTTCTCGTCTGCTCGGTGTCGGCGTGTGGAAAATGTAGTATTTGGTGACGCTGGAGATGTCTGTCAGCAATCGGATCTGATATGAATTTGAAAGACATTCTGTTGACAGCTTTGATGAGAATTGCAAGCGATGGGCAGATGGAGAGAAACCTAGCTTGTTGATGGAACAAATCAGTCAAACTATGGTCAAACCATGCCACTACAATTTCCAAGGTAAAACACCCTGAAAACCAAGTCGATGCATTTGTAACATTAAATAAATGAATTGTCGATCATAAAGACGTGCTGTTATCATAATGATCCATTTGATGTTTCTAGGGATGACTAAAGGCCTACATCCCAATCTCACATCCATTGTGACAGCCCAGATTAGTTCAGTATAGTCGACATTTGTAGATATTTTGAATACTAAGTTATGAAGATGAGATGTTCAAAAAGACCGTACAATTCTGTACAGTTCTACGCATGTGTACTTTGTTATCGTTGACTGAAACACACCACAAAGTAGTGCGTGTTTTATCATCCACTTCCAAATGCTCTTCAGAATGATTAAACTTGTTTAAATAGTAAGGAAAGTGATTTAAAATGTCTCTATATCTTTTGTATTTGTTCACGCACGTAATTTGCAAGAAGTAATTGAGGTAAGGGCAGCTTACCGATAGTGTATTTGGTACTAGGTACATTTTCTGCTTGTGATAGCTTTTCCTTTTGTTATTTAGAGCTTAATATCAAATTATACCCCAGTTATTCTAATAATTGTCTATCGGAAGTTATCTAATAATTCAAAATAAAATTGGCGTGTCGGTATTTAGGTAATTCTGCACTGACTCTAAAAGGCGGATTTACAAAAAAGATCCCGGATTTCAATCATGGCAAACAAAATATCCAACCAAAATAAATCTATACTCTAAATCTTCTTCAATGGTTATTCAGCATCGACAGGTACACGTGATCGCCTAGATAAATTTAGCAATTTCAAGCTAACTTTTCTTATAAATGATTTCTGTTGATGATTTGAAAAGTCTATAGAATATGTCCCTAACAAAAAGCCCAGGCCTACTTGCCTAAAGAGCAAACAGGCACTGGTCAGTCATCATATGAGCAATCCATGGTCAAACTGACACAGCACTAGTTCAAAACTGACCAGAAGTTGGAAAAAATTCTCACGTTCATGTTTTGGTTTAAAAAAAAGAACGTGCTAGACTTTAGATCACGTGAGGAAATAGATAATAGACTGATAGCTATACGTGCTAATGCTCATGTCTTTGAGATAAGACCGAACTAGTTCGCACATATCTTTTAACGCATTTATCATTTAACATCATCCCCTTCCCGTTTAAAAATAGTGAAATAAAATCTACACTGTTGTACCTTAACAATAAAATTAGGTTATCATATTCACGCACAAGGGCATGGTTACCCGACTTGAAGGCCTTTTTTTTTTTTAAAGATATTATATTTTCTGTGCAGCATTTGAAAATTCGTTCAAATACTGAAAACACGCTATATCGTCATTGCGGACTTATAAAATCCGCATACACTATAAAACTAAAAGAAAATGCATACTTTTGGAGTCCGTACTGAGCCCAAAAAATCCGCAATGAAAATATAACGTGTTTGAAACACTTTTCACTAATTTACACCGGTTTCACTACAAAAATCCTTAAATTGACTACAGTACCAGTGCTTAAACAAAGAATATAGTTTGTTTATGTGTCTTGGTGGTTTTTAAACTCGTTTCGCCGAATTCAGATTTTGGCATTTTAGGCCAAAATGTAAGTTTATAAAATTGTAAGTGAAGTACATCAGGTTGTATTCTTGTGTTTCAATTTTGAAAATCAGCCAATGGCAGTTGATTGGTACTACTTTTTTTGTAACTACCAAATCTTACTCAACACAAGTAGGGACTTTAATTAAAACGGGATAAAATATGAAATGTTAATTGTCAGTCAAATCATATATAATTCCACCTCATGAATATCTGAATCTGTATGACGGGAGCAAGTAAATAGCATTATGTAGTTAATAACACAAGATCGAATTTGAGAAGGTGAGAAAGACTGAGACCGGTTTTCTATTTTAAAAAATGAAGGAAGATTTCCCTTATATTTTGTATTCAAAATAGAGAGTAATTACTAATTACCGACGTCTTCTTAAACTTAAAATTAAGGTTACAACAAAATATCTTCATCCTTGAACTTGAGCTAGACCATTGAAGAAAATGTTCGAATTATGGAGGTCCGAAAAAAAATTTTCGCACAAAATTAAAATAAAAAAGTATTTAACTAAAACATATATGATGCCTAAAATAGATGAGGGCTGGGACGCTAAACTTTATGGTAGAAGAGCTTGAGCCAGACAATTAAAGAAAATGTTCGAATTATGGAGGTCCGAATACAATTTTCATACAAAATTTGCAGCAAAACTAAAATAAAAAGTATTTAACAAAAACATATATGATACCTAAAAAGGATAAGGGTAGAGACGCTCAACTTTAGACATCAACTGAATACCGCCGATCTTATCCGAAAACGAGATAACTACAAAGAACCTAAAATCGACAAAAGTACGCAGCTAACACGTTGAGGCAGAACAGTGAATTGATTAATAAAATGTTGATAAAAATCAAATTAAAAAAGAAATGAAACAGATTTTTATTTGATAAAATTGAAAAATTAAAAACATTTAGAGAACTTTCAAAAACAGGTGTTATGTGTCGTTTATTGACCCGTGATCTAGAAAGTAAACAAAAACCACTCGTCCTTGGTTTTTCATTTTATGTATTTGTCCCTAAAATTCAATTTAGACTTGTCAATCATACAATTTGCAGATTCTTAAATCTTAAGACTTTGACATCCATTTTGTCCCTTTCTGATGACGTCCTTTACCACGAACTTTGTAAATTTTTTTATTCTTTATTTGACTAATTATGGTCAACTGTCTGTAATGTACTTAAGCTCGGTGATGATTTTATAATGGGTTAAAATAACCACAAAATATACATGTCTCCACAGGCTTAATCCCCAGACACATCAGGCGCTACCAACTTGTAATCTGCGTACAGTAAGCTTATCGACAAGTACGCAATGTTTGTGCCAGTAATATGCCTACAGTAGGCAATATAGGATACTGATCATTATATATTTGGTGATTTATGAGTAACAAACTTTAGATGAGAAGAGACAATTTTATTTTTCTTGAAATAGCCGCGTTATGACATCGTTTCTTTGTGTGCATATAAGCTGATTGAATCAAATCCCGTTAGAATTGACGAAATGAACCTGAAGGCATGCTTGCAAGTAATTAGTGTTATCAGTGCTTTGACAGACAGTCGTGCACTTATCGCCATAGAACATCGGACCATGATTGGACAAACTAAAACCTTCAACTCACAGGAAAATACATCCAAAAGCAGCTAATTGTCCGCACCATCGAGCCCTACAACGATTTTATAACAATCTTCAGACTTTTAAACTCGATTAATTTAACTACCA